GAGGTAAGTTTCTTAGCAGCGACGGCACGCAACGCCTGGAGCCAGCACACGCAGCGTCCGGAGCCGGCGCACGTAGCGCCTGGAGTAGGTGCGCTCAACGCTTAGAGTCAGCAGTTGCAGCGCCCAAAGGTAGCGCCGGCGGTAGGTGCTCTCGGCGCCTGGAGTAAGCAGTTGCAGCGCCCAAAGGTAGCGCCGGCGGTAGGTGCTCTCGGCGCCTGGAGTAAGCAGTCGTAGCGCCCGGAGTAGTGTGGCCCCCGCGCTTGTAGTAGACTTCCGACGACTTCCGAGGTAGATGGAGGCTTGTAGGATTCCGGAATGGTGCGGCTCCGCGCTTGAAGAAGGGTTCGCCGAAGACTTCACGTGTAAGTAGAGGCTTGCAGTATCCCGGGGCAGTGCGGCCCCGGGATAAGGCCTTTAGGAGATACTTCCAATTCGCGAACTGAAGCGAGACTGCCTTTCTTCACCGATTGTTCGGCTTTTATACCTTTCTAGAGAGAACGGAAAAATTATTTAAATTATACGCAAATTTTTTGTAAATGGTCAAGAGAAAAGAGGATTTATGTGGAATTATCGAAATAGGAACAACAGATCGGTAGCAAATTTGAATATAATTACCATGGAAACGATATAAATAACAAAGACAAAACATGTCAAATTTTGGTTTTAGGTTTATAATAAGAAAACGGTAAGATTTAAGTGGAAAATGAGATATTATTGATATAGGAAAAAAGGTAGCGCAGCTGCCCACACAAAGCCCGAGATTGTAGAATTACGGAAAACTAGCTAAAAGATCGAAAAAAGGTAGACTCCATTGACACCAATTTAAAAGTGCTGATAATGTGAAAATACGAAGTAGAAATGATTTGTTATTGTGTTCTTATGGTTTAAAATCGTTACAGGATCCTATGGAAATAAAGGTGATGTAAAATATCCAGTTTTGAGGTGAATGCAGAAAATCGAAACAGAATGGAAAAATGAATTTAAAATAATGTAAAATGATATGTAAGTAGCATAACACTACATTTTCCCCCCGACCCTGGAAAATTTTTGACTCAGCAAAAATTTTGATATATACATTCTAAAATAAACCATAAAAACACAGCTTTGCAGAAACAGACATCACCAGGCAAAATCAGATATACTATCTCTTACATTCATCATCTGCCATTCAGGTAAGGGTGGAGTTCACATTCAATGACTACCACTCTAAAAGTGTGTTTTCGAAACGACATTAAGGCTTATTTAAGGAGTAGTCATCCGCTCCTGCGTGGAAAAAAAAAATTAGTCGAAGAAACACCACTCTTAAAAGTGTGTTTTCGAAAGGACATTCAGGCTTATTTAAGGAGTTGTCATCCGCTCCTGCGTGAAGATAAAGATAAAGAAAGGCCAGAGCGGTAGGGCTCAAAGCCAGAGATCAGCAACATCACTAGCGAGATGTGTCTGAAATAATAAGAAGTGAAGATTAACCTACCAAACAAACAAACAAATTAAAAGAAATAATAACAAGGTGAAAATGATGGTGATATTTATACATATATACAAATTAAATGTGATATTTATACATATATACAAATTAGCAGTTAATAAATGTTTAGATATTTATACATATATACAAATTAACAGTTAGTAAATGCTTAGAAAAGTTATGAATCGTCTCGCTTCAGCTTTGAAAAACAATTTTATATAAAGTGTAAAGTTCAAAGTTAAGTTTAAGAAATAAAGATTTAATTGAAAAATTATACCTCTTTAAGTTACCTAGAATAAAAATATTAGAGTGATGAATGTAAGTGAAGTGTTGAATGTAGGTCTAAATATAGTCTAGATAAGATGAAACACTAGATGAAGTGTTGTTTTAGAATTTGGAAAGTTATCTACAATAAAGATATTAAAGTGATGAATGTAAGTGTTAAATGTAGGTCTAAATATAATCCAGATAAGTTGAAACACTAGATGAAGTGTTGTTTTAGAATTTGGAAGGTTATCTACAATAAAGATATTAAAGTGATGGATGTAAGTAAAGTGTTAAATGTAGGTCTAAATATAATCTAGATAAGTTGAAAAACTAGATGAAGTTTTGTTCTAGAATAAAAATATTAAAGTGATGAATGTAAGTGAAGTGTTAAATGTAGGTCTAAATATAAGCCAGATACGTTGAAACACTAGATGAAGTGTTGTTTTAGAATTTGGAAGGTATGAAAAGGATGAATAAATGAATGATGAATAATGAGTTAAGAACGAAAGGGAGAGCAATTAAATCAAAAGGAAATGGACAAGGCGCAGTAAAGGTGAAGAATTAAGAGAGAAAGAGGACTTTTACGTTGGGCGCCAAATGTCGTGAAGCGACAATAATATATCTAACCTAAGAATAACAAAACAACAAAAATACAACAAAAACAAAAATATATTCAAAATTCAAAGATATTTACAATTTTATAAAAAAATGAAATGAGGATGATGATGAATGAAGTGAGAGTACAATTAGATTACAAAAAAAAAATATAAAGGTAGGAGAATAGGGGAATATAGAGATGTAGTGGGGCCTAAAAGTCGAAGCGACACACGTTGCGATTGTAGAGGTAGGTTTCTTAGCAGCGACGACACGCAGCGCCTGAAGCCAGCACACGCCGGTTGCGCTTGTAGAGGTAAGTTTCTTAGCAGCGACGGCACGCAACGCCTGGAGCCAGCACACGCAGTGTCCGGAGCCGGCGCACGTAGCGCCTGGAGTAGGTGCGCTCAACGCTTAGAGTCAGCAGTTGCAGCGCCCAAAGGTAGCGCCGGCGGTAGGTGCTCTCGGCGCCTGGAGTAAGCAGTTGCAGCGCCCAAAGGTAGCGCCGGCGGTAGGTGCTCTCGGCGCCTGGAGTAAGCAGTTGCAGCGCCCAAAGGTAGCGCCGGCGGTAGGTGCTCTCGGCGCCTGGAGTAAGCAGTCGTAGCGCCCGGAGTAGTGTGGCCCCCGCGCTTGTAGTAGACTTCCGACGACTTCCGAGGTAGATGGAGGCTTGTAGGATTCCGGAATGGTGCGGCTCCGCGCTTGAAGAAGGGTTCGCCGAAGACTTCACGTGTAAGTAGAGGCTTGCAGGATCCCGGGGCAGTGCGGCCCCGGGATAAGGCCTTTAGGAGATACTTCCAATTCGCGAACTGAAGCGAGACTGCCTTTCTTCACCGATTGTTCGGCTTTTATACCTTTCTAGAGAGAACGGAAAAATTATTTAAATTATACGCAAATTTTTTGTAAATGGTCAAGAGAAAAGAGGATTTATGTGGAATTATCGAAATAGGAACAACAGATCGGTAGCAAATTTGAATATAATTACCATGGAAACGATATAAATAACAAAGACAAAACATGTCAAATTTTGGTTTTAGGTTTATAATAAGAAAACGGTAAGATTTAAGTGGAAAATGAGATATTATTGATATAGGAAAAAAGGTAGCGCAGCTGCCCACACAAAGCCCGAGATTGTAGAATTACGGAAAACTAGCTAAAAGATCGAAAAAAGGTAGACTCCATTGACATCAATTTAAAAGTGCTGATAATGTGAAAATACGAAGTAGAAATGATTTGTTATTGTGTTCTTATGGTTTAAAATCGTTACAGGATCCTATGGAAATAAAGGTGATGTAAAATATCCAGTTTTGAGGTGAATGCAGAAAATCGAAACAGAATGGAAAAATGAATTTAAAATAATGTAAAATGATATGTAAGTAGCATAACACTACACCCTTTCAAATGAGTTCTAACTCGAACCTTCTATCTAGTGCCGTCACTGAGATCCTATACCCACCTTCGGATTGCACCATCAAAAAGGTGAGATCATAACAGTCACCTAGATCTTTATGAGCCCATTCAAATGAGTTCAAACGCGATCTTTCTATCTAGTATCGTCACTGCGATCCTATACCCACCTTCTGATTGCACCAACATAAAGGTGATATCATTACAGTCATCTAGGTCTCCATTTACCTATTTGAAAATGAGTCCAAACACGATGGTTCTACGTAATAGCATCACTGAGATCCTTTACCCACCTTGAGTCCACCATAAGGAAGGTGACATCATTACAATCACCTTGGTCTCCATCCTCTGTCAAACCAACTTCTCTAAATATATATGACGGCTCGTCGGGCGCAATGGCTTAGCAATGAATTGCTGCGCTGGGGGGCGCGGGTTCAAATCCCGCACGGAACAAGTATTTGTATGGCCTACAAATAATTGTTCCGGGTCTGGATGTTTGTCCTTGTGCCATTTGTGTTTGTAAACTGCCTCCACAATACAGGAGAAAATCCTAGTGTGGGGTAACTTTTTTTTTTAATAAAAAAAATTATATAAAATCTACACAGCATACAAATAATGTTATAAAAAATTATAAAATATATATTATAAAAGCTACTAAGAAAGTATGTATTTACCAATAATGGAAACGAACTGAAGCCGGCGGATTACGGTGCGCCCGGAAAAATACGTGGATTGCCGTCAGTTACAATTTCAACTTAAGATTTCACATAAGTTAAACTGATCAGTTTAACTGACGTACATCCAAAAACTGACCGTGAGTGGGGACCATAAGACGCTCAATCGTACTGAGCAAGTTAAGACAAGTATCGATGAACCAGCCGATTGCTACCGGATTGCACCAATAGCGTTATATATAACAAACACTTATTATAACTTGATTGCGTACGGCGCACGGGCTAGACTAAGAAATCTATGTTAAGTATTTCTAGTTTATATTCTATCATAAAGGGCAGAAATATAAACTAATTATTCGATATTGAGTAGTAGGTAGGTTTTAATGTTAGTAAATTTTAAAATATAATGTATCTAAATGAAATTACAAATTAACCATTGTCCCTTTAAACCACACCAACCTTTTTTTCTGGGCGCCTTAACGCCCCCCTCTAATTCCCCAACGCCCACAAGGGGGCGTCATCTCACACTTTGAGAAAGACGGCTTTTGTCTGTTTACAAGTATGTTACATAAGGAATACCATTTTTTTTTCAGTAATGCCATAGGGCCATTGGTAGCTCTGTGGCTGCTTTATTCGGAAGGTGGTGCACACGCACGCGCCGAAACGCCGTTAGCAATTCTCGTATTCGGTGGCGTGGGGATTGCCCTCGGCCTATGGCTCTGGGGCCGCCGCGTGATACAAACTGTAGGTGAAGATCTCACCAGCATCACAGCTGACACGTAAGCTCTGATTTACAATATGACCAAGTTTCTACAAGATAACCCTCTTAATTTATTTCAGGTGCAATTCTATATCTTTATTAGCCTGTAAAATTCCACTGATGGATTTGAGCCTATTCCGTTGTAGAGAGAAATTGCCTTTATCGTCACGCTTTCTTTTCTTTAAAAAAAGTTAACACCACACTAGGATTTTCTCCTGTGTCGTGGAAGCAATTTACATACATAAATTGCACAAGTACAAACATCCAGACCCAGAACAATTATTAGTAGGCTATACAAATACTGGCGATTTGAACCAGAACAAGATTTGAACTGCGGGCGGCTGCTTGTGCTGGATTTGAATCGCCTGCCCTCAGCGCTGCAATTCAATGCTAAGCCACTGCGCCACGGCCACGGAGTCGTCGTCTTTGCAGGCGGATTGTCAGCGGTGTTAGACGTCTCGTACTTTTGAGGCTGTTGCCCGTCGCCATATCAGAAAGCATTAGACATTTTTACCATAGTCACATCTTACGGACACCCACGGGACGAAATAGGGTGATGGATTCTTTTACGCCGCCACCACACTGCTCAATTTTTGTATGTATGCATGTGTTTTGCTTATAATATGTATGTCCAAGGAAAGAACGTTGAAATTGTGTATACTTCTATTCGTATTCTGCTGTACGTAGGCTGCTATTTTACCTGGTAGAACTACACTGCAGCTATATTTTACGTGGTAGAGCCACGCTGCAGATTTATTATGGTTGTAGCACGAATAGGTCGGTTCCACCGGGATGATACCACACTCTCACTGAATACTAACGTAAAATAGCAGCTTAATTATACATTTAGCAGCTGTGTTTCGTATGGTAAGTGCAGAGAATCGGAGACCCTTTTTTAGTGGAAACTAGGCATTCCATTTGTCCTCAGGGGTGCCAATGCATCTGTATTTTTAATTTAAATATAAGGTAAAAGTATATGTTTATGGGTCTCAGTTTTTATGGTAGAGCCATGCTGTAGCTATATTATGATTGTAGCACGAACGGATCGGCTCGACCGGGATAGAACCATGATCTCACTGAATACCAGCGTAAACTGGCAGCTTAATGCTGCTGTTTCGTATGGTGAGTGTAGAGAACCGGAGACCCTTTTTACTGGAAACGAGGCACTCCACCTCAGTCCTCAGAGGTGGCAACGCATCTGCATTTTGATTCGCAAACGAGGATAGGTGTAGATGTCTATGGGCCACAGCAACCACTTACTTGCTCGTTTGTCACCCTATCGTATAAAAAAATATAAAAATGTTTATCAATAAAGATTAAAGATTAGTGTTACGAATCGTAACTTACGATGGAGAATAAATAAATAAATATTTTTACCCTTGCAATAAACGGTTAACAATGTCAAAAAGTTTATAGTTAATTATTTGGCAGCGGATTTACAATCGAGCTTGGTGCGGCGTTGACTGTACTAGTGGCGAGCAAGGTCGGTCTCCCAGTCTCTACCACGCACTGCAAAGTGGGCTCAGTTGTTTGTGTTGGTTATTTCTCAGAGAAGGCTGTCGATTGGAGTTTATTTAGGTGAGATGAGTATTTATGTTATCATTATAATCAATTATAAAAGTCCACTGCTGAACATAGCCCACCCCCATAATTACCTCCTAGTATATGTAGGATACTAAAATATACCCCGTGTTTGATGTAGCTGCGACACTGGCAAGTGGGTTGGCAAGCACAGGTTTTTATTTCGTATCAGGAAGATATTGTTGCTCATCTCCGGTTTCATTACCTTCTGTCGCCTCTGACGACATCCATTCGATGATTAGAGGGTAGTGGGTGTCCTGACGCCGCCACTACACGGCAATATAATAATATTATTATATTATAAATGTGGTAATTGCTACATAATATAAAAAAGTAGTAAAGGGGTTGTTTATATCTCTTTCTTTTATTAATAATTAGATTTTATAAGATTTTACTAATTTGAATTAAAATTTATAAGAAATGAAGTTTTTTTTAATCATACTAATTTCCTTTTTATTTTTTATTAATACATATACATAAACACTCACGCCTGTCACCCAGAGGGGTAGGCAGAGACTATGGACTTCCATTTGGCGCGATCCTGACACACCTCTCTCGCCTCTTTTACATCCATATATCTACGCATACACGCTCGTCGGTTAAGGGTACTCCTAATCTGGCCCATTTTTAATGTATCGCTGATTTGGTCGATAAACCTACGTCTAGGGCGTCCCTTCCCGACCCTGCCGTTCACTTCTGCAACATAAATTTGCTTTGTCACTCTTTCCTCGTTCATTCTTTCTACATGACCAAACCACCGAAGCATTCCTTCCTTAATCCTTGTCACAACGTCATCTTGCAAACCACACTTTTTTCTTATCACACTATTTCTCACCCTGTCATTCAGATTCAGCCCTAGCATACTCCTTAAGGAACGCATTTCTACAGCATTTATTCTACTCTCATGCTTCTTCTGCCAGACCCAACTTTCACTACCATACATTAAAGTAGGGACTAACACAGCATTATAAATTGCCATACGTGCCTTAGTTGACACATTCTGACTCCTCATAATAGCGTGTAGAGCCCCATTCACTCTAGTTCCTGCGTTCACTCGTAGTTCTATATCCTTATCATATCTACCATCCCTGCTAAATAAACATCCCAAATATACAAACTCATCCACTTGCTCAATCAACTGCCCTTCTATTCTTATTTTAAATACCTTAAAATAACTTATCATTCTTCCATTTACTATCCTCATAGATTTTTAGATATTTGATGAAATATAAAATATCCCTAGATCCTGTTGATGTGTTTATATATATATATATATATATATATATATATATATATATATATATATATATTATTTTAAAGGCTACAGTCGGATATTTTAACAGCAATTTTTCAACTTGTTTTGTTATTTCAGGAACATAATATTTGCGTGGGTCGTGACCGTTCCGGCGGTGGCGGGCATGGCTGCACTATCAATGCTTGCACTTGAAGCCTTCGTCGTTTAAATAATCAAAATACATCTGTGAAGTTCATGAACCTACATAGAAAACACCACTTCTTAGATGGACGTCGCGTCCGCAAGACTACGCACTCATTAAAGTGTTTTAGATTTATGTTCCCTCTAAAATAGCCCAATAGCCCAGTATTTATCTACCTATTTCTAATATCTCCAAATGTTACAAAATTCCACTGTAGAAAATAATTAAATATTCTCCTCGGAATTAAGACATTTTAAAATCTAAAATTAGAAATGTGATTTAGGTGAATGTACTTAAATACTATATTAATGTTTATTTATACTATATTATGTATGTAACACGATGAAACATTCTTTATTTAACAAGAAATTCGGTTAAAACAACTGTGCTCACTAAATCCAATCCAATTTCTGGACGGATGAAATCTTTGATAAGTAATTACACGGAAAGAAGACTAATACCAGCACTGAAATTAAAGAAGTGAACGATCTTAGTACTTTATACTCAAAGAAAAATAAATAATTGTTATCACAAGTGTGTATTCAACGTAAGAAGCGAAAATTTTTAACAAACAATATTGCAATTAATAAAATGGAAAAATGATCTTACCTATAAATTACCTACACATTGACATATTATCAACAGTAATGTGCAGAGGTCCAATTTTTAATCTGCAAGCAAAATGGAATATGCTTATATCGGAATTTGTTGTTTATATTTTAATTTTTAGGTTCGATGTCTTTAATTAAATACCAGTACCAGTCACACGCCTCTAAACTTTGTGATGTACCTAATTGTTGATTAAAGGTCGTAGTTCAAAAACATTGTACTTAATATTATTTCCTGACATTCTTTATTCCTACATCCCTGGTTTCCTATAGAATGATTAAAATCAGCAGTGCGATTGTACTGAATATAACGGTAATAGGTATTGAAAGTAATTTATGTTTTTACAATTGGTTCGGAAAAATTTAAACAGTCGGTATTGCGAGGCGTCGCTGTCGTTGTGTACCCTTTACGGCAGAAACTTAGTCTATGGCGGAGCTATAGACCAAATCCGCCGCTTACAGATGCTCGTTATTTACTCCGTTGCGCAGATGGAGATGAACGCCGTGGAGAAAAGCGTGCCTCACTTGGCTTCCTCCGAAAAGGAAACGTTAAGACGCTGTCACGTTTACGTGTGCGAAAGCGTATACGGCACAAGCGGAACACTATGGGGTTTTAGTCGATGATAGTCCGACATAACCTGCCATTACTCGCGCGAAGCTGGTATGCTTAGAAATTTCCCTATAAAAAAGGGAAGCAAGCTGAACATGGGCTTAACGGAATCTGTTGGTATGTGGGAAAGGTCGAACTCCGTTAGGTTTAGTCGATAGAAGTCCGAAAAAGGGCCTTGCCCTGAAATGTATAGCTACATTCTTGGTGGAGCCACACTGCAGCATGAATGGGTCATTTCGACCGAGGAAGGACAACGTTCTCACAGAAAACCAGCAGGGTAACGCTGCTGTGTTTCGTACGGTGAGTGTAGAAAACCAAACTCTTTTTACTGGAACCCTTTTCCTTCCCCGGTCGAGCCGACCCATTCGTGCTACAACCGTAGCATAGCTGCAGCGTGCCACTATAATTTAAAATAACTCAACAGGGAATATTAATTTAATAATTTTTCAAATCATTAATTTATTATAATTACATCATTTTTTCTTTATATTTACTTATTTATTTTGTTATTTAGGCAACGTATTGGTTGGTCAGTGCTCTTAGCAATCTCGCTCGTCTGATAGCGGCGGCTTCCCTCTGTATGTCTTCGCTGTTGTTCGCGTTCAGTTCCAAAGCTCCTGCCGCTTTGACAGCCCGTGCTCTTCTTCCACCTTCTCCGCGTCTCGCGTGTAGCGCTACGGCAACTTCTAGCAGTGTACCGTCCCAAAAACATCCGTAGTATGCGTCCATTGCGTCTGCCGCGTTACCCGTCTGGAATTCAAATAAGCTCTTGTAATGAAGGACAAGTAAAGTAACGTTACAGCCTATATACGTCCCACTGCTGGGCACAGGCCTCCTCTCCTTTCTGAGAGGGTTTTAGGGCAAGGAGATGTCCGCCGCACTGCACCAATGCGTGTTGGCGGACTTCACATGACTTCGAAAAAAAAATCTTATTTCTCAAAAATGCAGGTTTTCTCACGATGTTTTTCTTCGCCGCCGAGCACGTGGTAAATCAACACTTAAAATTGCTATTAACAATTACACTGTTGCTTGCGTGCCGTGAAATTTACAGCGAGCGCTTAGCCTTAGTGATGAAGGATAGTAATGGTGTTATTACAGGCTGTGATGCATTCCATCTTAGTCCTTAGATGTGCCAATGCATTAGCAGGCTTCTTTGTTTTAAGGTTGGCTGTAAGCGTCTGTAGACTGCAGTAGTCACTTACCGTCAGGTGGACTGTAAGTTCGTCTGGTTTGATCTCAGCCGCCATTAATGAAATTGTTAATTTATAATAAATGCTAATTTTCTACGTGTTTGGCGGTGAAGGAACATCGCGTGAAAACCTGCATGGAAATAAATAAAAAAAACATTTGTAGACGTGTGAAGTCCGCCCACATGCATTGGGGCAGCGCAGAGGACATTTTCTTGCCCTAAAACCATCTCAGAAATGAGAGGAGAGGAGACTTGTGTCCAGTAGTGGGACGTATATGTATGTAACCTTATTTTAAGTTTTTTTTAAAAAAATTAAGATCATAATTTTCTTAACATCTTATTTTATAATACTGCGGAATTTTACCGCCATTAGCCTGTAATAAACAATCGCTGGACATCCATCTTCTCCCGCTCGTCGGTATGTAAATAGTCGATGGATAATTGCACCCTCCATAGATACAAATTTTAATAGCCATTTGACGTAGGACTAGTGATTTTTATGGCATTCTCTTTCGTCACTTCAATACAGCAGTTTACAAACATGTTTGACACGTAACTCATTAGGGGGAAAGCACTTGAAGGCTGTTTCGTAGTCGAGCAGTGGGCACGTACTTTCCTGGCGAGGCACCTGAAGGTGGTGGTGTAGTTCGACAGCGGACACGTACCTTTGAGTTAGGCAATGAGGGTATACACAAGTTTGTTGCCACAAGGGCAGTGCCACTTTGAAAGTATTTGACAGATTTAATAGAGGGAAAGTAAAATCGTTATGAAAGTTTGATGTTTCTTACTTTAAGTTAAAGTTTAAAGTTTTTTACGGATATTCTTGAAAATCTGAAAAAAATTTGAAAGAGAGATAAAATTGTGTAAAAAATTTAAGAGCAGCCACTAAGACATTGTTTTGTGTATTATGTACATACACTAGAAACCGAAAAACTTTTATTTGAAACGCAACTTTTCACTTATAGTGACACTAACAATTATTTTCCCTCAGTCCCAACTAGCGATATTTATTTATTTATTCTTTATTGCACCAAATATTTGTACAAAAGGCGAGCTTAATACTATATGGCATTCTCTACCAGCTAACCTTGGGTAGAACAGAGAGTGAGTTTGGGCAGTTAAGTTGTGATGATATAATTCAGTTGAAATATATACTTGCAACACATACATAAAATATACACATACATATAAAATATATATAATTCATTCATTCATTCATTCATTACAGCCCTTCACAAGTCCACTGCTGAACATAGGCCTCCCCCAAAGAATGCCACAAAGCACGGTCCTGAGCCACCTGCATCCATCGACTTCTTGCATGTCTTACCAGGTCGTCACTCCATCTCGTGGGGGGACGCCCCACACTTCACCTACCGGTACGAGGCTGCCACTCGAGAACCTTTCTTCCCCATCGGTTGTCGGTTCTTCGAGCTATATGGCCGGCCCACTGCCACTTCAGCTTACTAATCCGTTGGGCTATGTCGGTTACTCGGGTTCTACTGCGGATATCCCCATTCCTAAGTTTATCACGCAGAGAAACTCCGAGCATAGCCCTCTCCATAGCTCGCTGAGCGACCTTGAGCTTCCTCATACGGCCAGCAGTGAAGGACCATGTCTCAGTTCCGTAAGTCATCACTGGCAACACGCACTGGTTGTACAATTTCGTTTTAAGGTTTTGAGGTATGTCTGACGAGAAGATGTGTCGTAGCTTCCCGAACGCTGCCCAGCCGAGTTGAATTAAATTAATTAATAATTCATATACATATATAAATAAATACACACATTTATACACACACACATATATATATATATATATATAGTTGACTCAAATTTGTAGGCTACGTATATGCTCATATATCTGGTGAGCGGTAAATTATTAGTCCTTGAAGATCAATTGTGTGGCCTCTCGGCGAGCTATTTCATTCGGGTGTGCAGTGGTTGTGTGGGCACGTACCTTTTCAGCGAGACACTTGAAGGCGGTGGTGTAGTCAGGCTCGTCGGGCAGCTGGCACAGCGCGGCGGCCTGCGTGGGCGCGCTCAGAGCCTGGCAGCAGCGCGCCGCCCTGCGCGCGACGCTGCTCTCGTCGGGCGCGCGCTTCGCGAAGTACCACGAGCCGGCCGCCACCGCGCACAGGTAGCGCCGAAGTGCGGCACCCCAGCGGCCCGCACACATTTCCACGTCGCCGTATAGACGAAGCCTGATATTTTAGCAATTTAATTGCCACTGACATAGAATTTTTTTTTAACCTAACGATACTTGAAGGTTTTAAACGATTATATGGCGTAAAGACGTACTAGTATCCTATTAACAGAATATCAAGGTGGCATTTAGTAAATTAACAACAGGTACAAACGTTTTTCACTGGATAGTGGCACTAGAGCAGATAGTTTTTAATTTACAATAATTATCTACAATTGCCATGTTTTATATTTTGATTTTTTCATAAATTAATTATTTGAAAAATTACAAATCTACTCAAATTACTAAAACTGCCCAATTATATCGCCGTTATGAGTTAAACCGTATTAAGTTCAGCAAACAAATTTAACGATCATAAAAATAAAAGAAAAATACACAGACATAGTCCTTCTTAATATAATATTGTTCTTGAGGAAAAAAAAATGGTACAGTATTGATAGCAAAAGAGTGACAAGCTAGCACACAGTCCATCTGATGGTAAGTGGATTTTGTGATATAGACATGTACAGTTATCCTCAATTAAGAATCAAAATGCATATGTATATTAAAGTTGGTAAAAGTTACCTCTATTACCGAGGTAATTTTTACCAACTTTAATATAATAGATTTCGGCAAAGTAACGCCTGATTCTATTAATTATACAAAATGCATATGCTTTGTCATCCCTGAAGATAAAGGTTCTACACCTAGTTTCCAGTAATAACCTGCCAAGTGCGGGTCAAACTCGCGCGTGAAGGATTCCGAAACTAGGACGGTATAATGGTATTTTCCTAACAACAACTAGATCCAAAGTATGACACTGCCGTTGCCAACCTGCCTGGAAACAGTGGAACTACGAAAAATACCCCCTTATAAGGTTATCCATTGGATAGGCTTATGTTCAGTAGTTGACTTTGATAGATCGTAATGAATTAATGAACAATGTATATATTTGATCTCAATATAATTTTAGAAACTGTTAGAACTCGTCAAATCATCGTCATCTACGTAGTGGAGCTAAAAGAAATTCTCGTTAAATGACTTCGTAAATTTATTTTTGTAAGATAATTTATTATATATAATAAATATGAATATATTAAATATTATAAGGTATTCAAGAAAGGATATGGAACTTTCATAAATTGCCCGCAGATTATTAAAAATATTTTCATTATAATTTCTATTATTTTTTCTTCTTCTTGTTTCTGAGAATAACTGTATCTAGAAAAAATTACGGAAAGTGACTATTATATTTCACTTTTAGCACTAATATATAAATTTAGGAAAAAAACATTTTTATTATACCTACTTTATTGTATAAATCATGACATTATACCAATATAAAAATTAAGTAAATTATTTCTCCTTGGAAGTAAAATATAGCCACAATGTTTGCAACATATAAGATATGATATGCAACGTATAAGATATCTTGAAAAATAACGTTGTGGGGACTATTCACACACAAAGCTTGGGGGTGCGCGCACCGCGCATCGGCTCGCTTTGAGAAAATGCTGTAGCGGGCGTGTCAGAGGCCTCACAGTGGCTGTAGGTATGTCGGCACGTGTCGTTTAGTTCAGATGCAAATAATATTTTTAGAAATATTAAATTAAGTAAGTTACTTGATTAGAAACGCTAAAATCCCATTCATAGTACACCTGTACGTCCCTGAAACGACCAACGGGTTGTTTGCTACATACTGTATAAATTGTTTAAACCACTGTGATTGTTCAAAGCTGTATGAACCTTTATTTTTTAATAAAATATCATTTATGAAACCCACATTTCCTATAATACACAAAAGATTGATAATATTTTAAATATCTTTATAAATAAAAAATAATAGTTAACATTATACCTAGAAAGCGTACACTCTGATCCCACCCTCTGCCGTCAGCTATTAGTTACGGGCTCGCGGACTTCGCTATGCGACAAGCAAATGATACAGAATAAATTGCAAATGTTTTTTGTGATATTTATGAACATCATACGAAGACGAACGCCTGATGAACTTGTGCGAAGCACCAAAAATAATTTATTAATGTCCAGGGTGAGTATACTTATATTGCGGGATGCGTCTGTGTGACTAAAAAGTATCAATGTAGATGTTCTATTAGAAGTTCCCACGCTCAAAGACTACAGTCTTCAGAAGATACGAGACAGTCGAACAAACATTCGAGGGTGATAACTACGGAGTGCATAAAATATGCTTCAATAAACTTTAAGTATAGAGATCCCGAATACTTAATTTTAATGCCGAAAATACAGCTTACATTTTAAATCATATAAAAATAAGAATGCTAACTTACCAAGAAGTATTATAAGGATACAATTTCAAACTTCTTTCCAATAAATCAGTAAGAGATTCAAGAATGTATTTTGTGTTGTAATTGTTTATGTTCGATATGTTCGACGGCCAGAGACTCGTGTATTCGACGACTAGTTCAAGCGAGTTGTCATCTATAATTAGATTGTGTATCTTCGCGAGCAGTGAAAAAATCACGCTGATGGCTAAAGGTTCCCGTAGGGTTGCCAGGAATGCGTTGAAAGCGTTTCTTGCGTCGGCAGATGCGTTAGATGCGTCTCGAGAGTGAGACGGCATTCCTCCTGCTGTTCGTTTCACTGGTCCGTTTGAACCGTTGCAGTATACTGATAGTGCTGCGAATAAATGAAGATAGAATAATATAAAAAATCATCATAATATAGAAGATTTTATAAAAAACTACAGAAGAACGTGTAGATATATGTGGTAGAGTCACGCTGCACCTATATTATGATAGTAGCACGAACGGGTCGGCTCGACCGGGATAGAACCATGATCTCACTGAATACCAGTGTAAACTAGCAGCTTAATGCTGCTGTGTTTCGTATGGTGATTGTAGAGAACCGGAGACCCTTTTTACTACGCATGTGCATTTTGATTCTTAATCGAGGATAAATGTTGATATATATGGGCCACAGCTTCCACTTACCATCAGGTGGACTGTGTGTTTGTTTGTCACCCTTATTCTATATAAAAACACAACAAATATTATAAAGGATTTTATATTTATTAGAAGACACGTTTTTTGTTACACATTCATTTACCTAATAAAATATTCCGTTATAAAATATTTTTCTATTAGTCCTGTCTGAAAAAAATATTTTTGAAACTTTTTTGGTGGTCTTATCGGGCTAGTTCGTGGCGGAAGACTCACGACCATAGACTTTCTTGATCTAGGTGTACCATGCGTAGTGGTGCTTACCGTAGTCCCATAGCGGGCGGGGGAACTTCCTGGTGGCTTTGCCGCGCTGCAGTTCCTGGCAGGCGGCACAGAGCGCTGCGGCCATCTCCCCCGCCCCATTCGTAGATCCCGCCCCCTCCCACTCGCACGCGTTCACTAAGCACGTCCAACACGCCTCTATTACCTATAATACGTGATAAGGATGATCTTAGATTATGATATTGTGGAATTTAATGTGAAAAGGGTTACTAAAATTTTCTATAGGTGAGGCTTTTGGATACCTATATAAAAAAGTTTAAATAGTTTCAAAAATAGTTATTCAAACTATTATACATACACACTTGTAATTACCTAATTAAAAAATACTGAATAACTAATAAGACTCGTTGAATACCTAGAATCTTAAATTTTATGAAAAAACCTAATAAAGTTATTAAGTTCTGAAAAGTACCATTTTTATCACCCTTTTTTTTAAACCTAGGCGACTTCTAGGTTACTTAGAATATTGAAAGAAAAATGGCGAATTCCTCAACAAATTTTCGATGAAATTTTTTTTTCTTACGTCTACAAATGCAATATGTGTAAAAATATAGTTTGAAATCCTGAACAATCTTCAGTTATATTACTGCAGGAAGTAAGGAGTTAAAGATATTCCAGTTTGAACAAAATTCACATCAGACTAGGCTATATGGTATAAGATTAAAGCGAAGACCATGTGAGCAAATTGCTCGAAGAGGGTAGGGTCAAGAGTACTCGGATACCTAGACGTGCATGTATGAAGAAGATAATGAATCTGAAAGAAGCGAAAGAGATATGTAAGGATCGTGACACTTGGCGATCTGTTCTCTCTGGCTACCCCGTCAGGGATTGTGCGTGAAGATAAGTAAGTAAGATTAAAGCCAGCCTTAATTGGTAAATTGTTACAACAATAGAACGGAATAGAACGGGTTAGTAGGAAGTGCCCGTGTAGCCACTAACATGTCAATTCACACCTATAAATGTCAACACATCTTGACGTCACAGTCTCTGCCCAATTTTTGTGTCAAGCGTTGCTGGGTGCAATCTTAGATTATTTACTCTCTAGATAACGCGTCACGCAATGAGCGATGCAACATAAACAGGCCAGTTTTTACAGGCGTGTGTGCGTGACACGCACACAGGCTTAGCGGTTGCTATGGTGACAGAATAAATAGCTATGACTTACACCAGCGTGATTTGTATCTGGGAGATACCAGCTAATGAATCTATCCCGATAAAATGGGGAAAAATGTCATGTTAATTAAATTATAAATTATAATATTTGAATATGGTGCTTTCAATTGTGTTTAGTTGTCTGTTAGAATTTGTTATTTTGAGTTAGAATCTAATTTTTATTGTAAAGAAAAATATACAAATAAAAATTAACTACGCATTTACAAAATATGTTTTATTATTTTATGTATGGTATCGACTTATAAAAATACTGGAGGTCGGCCGGTTGGTTGCTTCACCTGCGTCATAGTTAAATAATTTATCCTGCAGGTATCCTTTACCGTAAAATTTTATTCAATAGCGTTTCTACAGTTTAATCCTTTTAAGAAGAATTATTTCGTCCAGCATTGTTGTGCCAGCCAGAGTTGATATATGGGTGCCCCATTGAAGCTTTGCATCTAAGGGCATCCCCAGGAACACAGTAAATATGAATCTTATAGGTAATGCCCTCGGAAATGAACTGTACTTCAAGTTGAAAGTTCGCCGCTCTTACCACTGAGTTACCATCGCTAGTGTATCTTATATACACTAGCGATGGTAACTATATTAAAACTTAAATATATGAGCCTGTACGTAATAAAACATACTTTTTTCGGTACCGCTTCCTTTTTCAATCTTCGACAGCCTTGATTATTTGCAAAATAAAAGTAATTTTCACGGAAATGTTTAGAGCATATCACGGTGGTTTTGGATGGTTTTCAGAAATCTTTTCCACGGTTTTTTCTTATGAAGTCCACCCATCGACTTCTAATTATAGGATCAATAGGTATCCTAAAACCATGTATCCAAATGGTCGCATTCGATTTTGACAATTAACATTAAAAATGAACATATGAAGATCAGCTTTTAAGACAACCATACGGGGAAATTCGCAACCCAAGACTGGCAACACCAAACAATGACGCGTTGATTTTGTAAATAAAATTATCAATTTATTAGTTTTGTTTTCATAAATTACTATTAGTTTTGAGTTACCTACCGATGGTAGGAGATTTTGTTAGGTGTTTGTAAACGTCCTATGTAATTTCTGCAGATTATGATCGCGCAATTTGTCATTTTCACCAAAATAATTTACCTCAAAAAAATTAACCGTGCGTGCGTATCTCTTGGCGTTACAATTGACAGTGAGGAGAGGGGAGCGCTTTAGAGGCTAACAGTTATCTGATACTTTTTTCGACGCTTTTGAGCTGCCGTTACTCTATCTAGAGAATAAATAATCTAAGGGTGCAATTTATTTCAAAAATGTCGAATTATACGATAATTACGAGTCAGAAAAATAGCCGGATGTGGAATTTCAATAAAAGTGGTATATCCTTTCACCAGTAAGTCGAAACTATTTAAAAAATAAATAAATATTGATAGGTGAAAACAACAGTACTAAGGATGTAACAAAATTTTATTGATACCGGTAAACCGGGAAATCTGTCGCTTTTAAAATAATTTTAAAAGCGAGTACAATTATTGTACTTGGTATAATGTAGTGTTGGTGTAATTATACCAAGTACAATTATTGTACTTGGTATAATGACAAGCTAAAGATGCGATAAAATATGTTGAAAATTAGTAATTTAATGGTCTACGAATAAATTGTTATAACATTTTTTTATTGACTTGTAATTTTGTTCCCTCTATAGGTTTTCAAAATTTTAAAAAAATTTTTTAGATTCAATCTTCTGGTTACGTATCATTACTACATACTGTATACTCACTTTACGCGCAATCACCCAAAACGTGTTGGGTAATTTCATACTTTTTCTTCCAATTTTGCTTTTGCCTGGTAGTAAACAGTTACAACAAATACTGTGACCATCACCAAATCCTTGACGTACATTGTATGACAACCAATAAATTAAAAAAAAAACAATTTTAGAGATGTAGCTTTTAGTTTTTAGCCTTATTATTTAATGTTTCATTGTGTAAGCGATGATTACCTATAAGTGATTGTGCATTACTTATAGGTAATCATCGCTTCACTAGGTAAGTCCAACTTCGACCGAGAGGTCAATCGACGGATTCAAGTCGGCTGGGCAGCGTTCGGGATACTACGACACATCTCGTCAGGTATACCTCAAAACCTAAAAACGAGATTGTATAACCAGTGCGTGTTGCCAGTGATGACTGATGGATCTGAGACGTGGTCCTTCACTGCTGGCCGTATGAGGACGCTCAAGTTCGCTCAGCGAGCTATGGAGAGGGCTATGCTCGGAGTTTCTCTGCGTGATAAACTTAGAAATGAGGATATCCGCAGTAGAACCAGAGTGACCGACATAGCCCGACGGATTAGTAAGCTTAAGTGACAATAGGCCGGCCATATAAAATAACAAACTGCAATTTTGAAAAAAAAACATAAATTTTTCCAAGGTTAATAAATAAAAACTTTTTAATATTAATTTTTAGAAATATTGAAAAACGTGGTTTGATAATATTCGGCAAACCCGAAAGTCTGCAAATGTCTACTAGATCGTTTAATGATTACGGATGTGTTTAATTGTTAAGGCCTAGATGAATTTTATATAAAAGTAGCTATAACAGAAACTTTTTAATAATTTGTTTTATTCTGTAAATAGTATTTTATGTATTAAACGAAGGAAGTATCGTCCTCTTAATAGATCAATAATAATTTTTAGTTACTTTTGTATTCGTTGCAACATATTGCAATTTGTAGGTGTTAAACAATGTAAGCAAACAACTCATTTTAAAGACAACCAATAATAAAGAAATATTAATTTAAAGAATTATATGTTTGTCTTATATTTTCTATATATCTATATACACCCATATTTTGTAATTACCAAAAAAAAAACTAAGTGCTCTGTGTCGGTTACTGATTACATTTAGGTAGAAAAAACTTAAAATAATTAATTAAAAATATATCTCTAAAAGAGGATAATAATTAGTCACTCATTTATTATACGTAATTACTTAATTTACTGATTGAGGTGCTGTCGACTCTAAAACATAAATTGCTAATATTATTGAAATATTTCAAACTATATTACTTTATATATATACTTTATATAATTTATATTCAAGTTTTATTTAATTTTGCAAAACATTCCATGCACAGATGGTTACCGGTTTTACCAGTAAATCACTAAACAAAACTACATCCTATATACTAGCTGTGATACCATTATAATATACTACAGTTTGCTTAAACGCACAGACTAATATGATGCTACGCATCTCATACGTATTCTACAACTTTTTATTTACAATAAGAAAACAACTTACTACTAATAAAGTCTGATTTTATGTAATATTAAATTGCGTTTTAAACATTTATTTTTTGAAATTCGTATGACCAATGAGTGAATTGGGTTTCTAGTATTGATAATACGACGTAACCGCTTGTATGTGTGCTCCCGGCAACACCGGGTTCGTACAAAATAAGGTTGGCAGCCATCCTATTGTGTATTAAAGTATTCTATGTTGGAACTGCTATGGAGCTTGGCGCACTATTATCAGCGAAGCCCACAACCCTTAAAGTTTTTTGTATCGAACTTGGCCCCATTTTCATATGTTTTGGTGGGATTGTAGTAACAAAAAATTATTTAATTACAAACTATTTACAAGAGTTATCAATAATTTCCTTACCTGAGGCCGAGGCACGATACCATCTCCAGAGTTAGCCGTTGCAATACACGCCTTGCATTTGTTAGCCAATGCCGTCAAGTTAAGTCGATGATGGGGCCACTCGCTCAGCATAACATTCACTTGTAGATAAAGCACTTCCCAAGATAAAAGACGACAGAGTCGATATAAAGTTGGATCTGTTCCGCCACCGAGTTGGCTACGAGCTTCACCTTCCAAAACTGAGAGTAAGGATAGAGCTGCCCGAGCGCAACCAGCTTCGGCTCTAGCTCGAGCAGCACCCGACACTACATATCCAAAATCCTGCAGGAATCCTCGTGGTAACGCTACCAAAGCATTTCCCAAACTACCAGCTGGCTTCCAAGATGGACTTAACTTCCATAAAGGAGACGATGGTGACATCATAGCTAATTTCACCAAACACATACGCACATCATCGGCCGTCGAAGCCTCTATTAGACGTTTCTTAAGCCGTCCCATTTCTAATTCAGGCACTGTTTTGAATTCAAAGTCTGGCGTTTCCCAATCGTCTGTAAGTAACTCACGAGGGATATCCATGTTCTCGTCATCACCATGTACTGTATCGTTAATAACGGTTTTCAGGTGATCATCAAATATTAATTTTTTTCTTATTTTTTCACTAGATTCTCCAACATACTTTCTTAAATACTCATCTATTCTATCAATAGGTAGTTTACATTGGGATGTCGCTAAATGTAAAAAGAATATCCTAAGATTATTCCAGTCCTCTTCTGATAAATCAGATAGTAAAACAGGACCCAATGCCCAAAATAGTAAATCAAAGAACTTTATACCTACAGTTTTGAATTTATTAAGAAAATCTGGATGTGTTGATGGTATGCCACCTTCTAACGCGTACCGCACGGCATTAAGTGCCGATACTCTATTTAAAAGATCTCTTGCGACAGTGAATGCACCACTTGACGCCGAGCCTTGTATGTCCAGTTCTGCAACTTCTCTGTGAATAAATGGGATTTCTCTTGATATATTATCAGCTTGTAGAATAGCAATAATCCCAGTGTAGTGATTAGCTATGGACTCTTGTAGTTTTTGTAAAAGTGTAGGCTCTTCATTTAATAGTTCGTAACCTAAATTTAAAGCTCTTATATATCCTAATATGTCATCATTAGTCATACTTGCATAGTAAAAATTATTCCAAGGCATCACTTTGTGGCAATCATAACCATGTTTGGATACTTCTTTTTCCAATAGATTTGCGTTTTCTCTACAACCTAATATGTGCTTTTTAGCCATATCATGCTGTCCGTAAAAGAAGTAATTGTAGCACAAATCAAAGTGAATCTGCATAGACAGTTCATATTGACTAATTAAAACATCTCCTGCGTTCCAATTGTGATTCATATCATAGGTATCTTCAGTCAAGTGGACAAATGTTTCCATTACTGGTATTTTTATTTTTCTAGGTCCCCTAAAATTTGTCTTTGCAAATGTTTCATATTCAGACAACACTCCCTCTAAATATTTAATGCTCTGTAAACGAGAAGCATCACACATTCTAAGAATTTTGTCGAAATTCTGATTCATTGGACTGTATCCACTTTCTGTTTGCATCCCAGGCCTGTAGCAAAAATATGTCATAAATACCATGTCCGAAATAATAAGAATTTTACAGAAGTTGCGATTATATTTAACTGTATACTTAGGTTATACATTTAGGTACATATTTAGGTTTTTACAATTCTACCTATGTTGTTGTTAAATTCCAATATTTGGTATATATATATGATCTAAGTATTTATATATTAAAAAAATATCTTGTATAATCACATCTTTGTTCAAACTATCTGCATTAAGCTAAATGAGTACTTAGATAACATAGGAAGTTTTTCATTCTAGAATAATTATAGTATTTTGAATACTTACTATACTAACTTACTTAAAAAAATGTCTAAAAAGTAGCAGTTGGCATTCTATTATGTTACGACGTAAATATCCTTTTTTTATTTCTATTTAATTTATACATAACCTAATTTTTATTACACACAGTTTAAATAAGGTTTCAGGACTTTAGTGTGTTAATATATATATATAATTAATTTTTTTTTTATTCCAGAGCAAGATTCAGTTACTTTTTTGTATTATTTCTCGACTTTAAAAGTATCTCCATATATTCCCTTACTACTACTGCTGTAAAATGTACCTGATTATTTATTTAAAAAAAAATATTAATAATTAATAAATAATTATTTTAATTATAACTTAAAGTAGATAATATAAGTAGTTATTTACTTACACATGTACAAAAGACATTTTAGTAGATTTAGCATGAAGTGCAGCCTTCACAGGAAATCTTAGAACCCATCTGTGGTATAAGGTCAAAGCAAATTGGACTTGAGGTTGTTGCAATAACTCTGGTGAAATTTCCTGGAATACACATGTGTTATGTATAGTTGCGTTAAAAATATATTATTGGCTATGTAGAAACAACGATAATATGCTATGCTTTTGTTTAACAATAGTGGCTCAAGGATTGAGTTGAGCATTCACCTCGTGTAGTGAGTAGTTATAGAAGCAAAAACATTAGAGGCAGTAAATCATCAATTAGAAAGCTATGAACGGAAAGAAAAGACCAGCGAGATAAATTCAGTCACAGGTAAGAGCAAGGATACTTCGAAATGGGTAAAAACTGAAATGAGGTCAGGAAATTTTAAGTGTGGAAGATGCGGAAATGCAATGCACAATATTCAGGACCCAAAATGTCCAGCCAAAGAAAAAAATTGTCACGGGTGTGGAAAAATGGGACACTATCAAAGATGCTGTAAAACAAAGTTAAATAGATTTAAAAGGAAAATAGAACATGAGCAAGAGGAAGACAAGAAATAATAGAAATAAAAAGCCCCGTAAGGACTCTTCAGTCAATACTTTAGAAGACGATGATTCTCAATATATCTTTACTGTAAATGACGATGCAACCATAAAGTGTGATATAGGTGACATCGAGCTTCAAATGCTAATCGATTCAGGGTGTAAATCAAATTTAATAACGGATAAAGCATGGGAATATTTGAAAATGGGTACATCTTTAACAGTGGTAGTCACGCGGCAGCTTTTGCTGTCGCACGGATGGGCCGGCTCGAACCGGGGTGGTACCACGATCTCACAGAAAACCAGCGTGAAGTAGAGGCTTACCTCTGCGTTTCGCTTGGTGAGTGCAGGTGACCGGAGGCCCTTTTTACTGGAAATGAGGCATTCCATCTTAGTCCTCACGGGTGACAACGCATCTACATTTTGATTTGTAATAGAGGATAGATGTAGATGTCTATGGGCCGCAGCAACCACTTACCATCAGGTGGACTGTGTGCTCGTTTGTCACCCGTATCCTATAAAAAAAAAATAGATAAAGTTAGTTGTAAAAATCAAACTAAGAAACCAAAAAAAAAATATTACTAGCATATGGCAAGATATTTAGATACAAAAGGTTCGTTCGAAACCGAAATTAAAACTAATGGAAAAACTGACCCCTGCTCTATTTATGTCATAAAAACGGATTCAGGAATTTGTTAGGAAAGGATTCAGCGATACGATTAGGAGTTTTAAAAGTAGGCGTTAGCATTAACCACATTGATCAGGAACTAAGCAAGCCGTTTCCAAAGTTTAAAGGTATTTTAGTGGAGATTCCAATAAATAAATGCATAAAACCGGTAACACAGCCCTATCGTAGAATACGTATTCCTATCGAGGAAAATATAAAAAGGAAGATAAAGGAGTTATTAGATGCGGATATTATTGAAGAAGTAGATGAACCATCTTTATGGGTATCGCCTATTGTACCAATATTAAAAGATAATGGAGATATACGTCTCTGTGTCGATATGAGGCGAGCTAATACAGCAATTCTCAAAAAAAATCACCCATTGCCTAGAATGGACCACTTGCTGCCGAAAATAAGAAAAGCAAAGTATTTTCCAAACTAGATATAAAAAATGCTTTCCATCAAGTTGAGCTGCATCCCAACTCCAGATATTTAACGACTTTTGTAACTTCTAGTGGACTTTACAGATATAAAAGACTTATGTTTGGAGTTTCATGTGCACCGAAGCTGTTCCAAAAAATCTTAGAAAAAATGATAATCAAATGTGAAGGTGTAATTAATTTCATTGACGCTATTTTAATATGGGGCAGCAGTGGAGAAGAACATGATTTGCGACAATAATGTCCTGCTCAATAAAGATAAATGCTTATATAAAGTGCAAAAGGTCAAATTTCTAGGACACCAATTGACACCAGAAGGAGTAACACCTCTACCTGAATATATCAAAAGCATAACCGAATTTAGAGGACCAAACACAATTGACGAGTTACAAAGTTTTCTTGGATTAATAAATTACATAAATAAATGGATTCCTAAACTAGCTACAATTAATGAACCGTTAAGAGAATTACTTAGGATGAAATTAGGAAAAAAGGCTAAGATAGAAAAATACTGGACAGAGAAACAGGACCATGCGTTTAAGTGTCTCAAAGAGAAATTAACAAAAATACAAACATTAGGATATTATGACGTCAAAGACAAGACCCAAGTTATAGCGGATGCAAGCCCTGTAGGATTAGGAGCTGTTTTGGTACAAACTGATGAAAGGGGCCCCAGAATCATTGGCTATGGGAATCGGACATTAACAGATTGTAAACGAAAATACAGCCAAACAGAGAAGGAAGCCCTTGCTCTTGTTTGGGCTATCGAGCATTTTAACACATTTCTTTTTGGGAAAGAATTCGATTTAATTACTTACCATAAGCCATAGGAATTCCTATTTAGTCCCAAGTCAAAGCCGTGTGCTCGCGTTGAAAGATGGGTTTTGAAATTACAGGCCTATAGATATAAGATAAAATATAAGCCAGGAAATACAAACATTGCAGATCCACTATCACGACTATGCAAAGAAACAAATGTACAACCTATACGGGACGACCATATATGTCAAATAGTACAATTAGCAAAACCGCATGCTATTTCTATGCGAGATATAATTTTACAATCTGGAAGTGACTTAGAAATAACAAACGTAAAAAATGGTCTCTATAAAAATCAGTGGGACGAGTCAGTCAAAACCTTTAAAATTTTTGAAGATGAACTTTGTTTTTATGAGAACATCCTCTTGAGAGGAAATAAAATTGTAATTCCAAATAAATTAAGAAAACAAGTATTAGTAGCAGCCCACGAAAGTCACCCTGAAATCGTGTCTATGAAGGAACGATTAAGAGCTAAAGTCTGGTGGCCAAAGATTGATAAAGATGTCGAAATGCTGGTCAAGAGTTGCAAAGGGTGCACTCTTGTGGGACTGCCAAATCTACCTGTACCCATGAAACGGCGGGAACTTCCAGCAAAACCGTGGGTTGACATCGCGATGGATTTATTGGGACCACTACCAACTAACGATTATCTTTTGGTAGTAATTGACTATTACAGCCGTTACAAAGAAATCAAGATAACTAAAACCATCAACAGTGCACAAATTATAAAATATCTAAAAGAGATATTTAGTCGCCTTGGTTACCCAGTTTCGATTAGTGCGGATAATGGGCGGCAATTTATAAGTGAAGAATTTAAAAACTTCTGTGCTGAGTGTGATATTAAACTGTTAAGTTCAATACGGTATTGGCCCCAGATGAATGGAGAAGTAGAGCGCCAAAATCGTGACATATTAAAACGACTTAGAATCAGTCAAATTGAAAAAAAAGATTTGAAGGAGACACTGTATGAATATCTGATGATGTATAACTCTACTCCACATTCAGTAACAGGGAAATCACCATCGGAACTTTTCTTTAATCGTCAAAATAGAGATAAAATACTTATGTTAAAAAATATGAATAGCAAAGAAGACTATTCAGAAATTAGGGATCGGGATAAACTACAAAAAGAAAAGGGTAAAGAATATGGAGACCGGAAGAGAAGAGCAAAAGATTCAGAATTTATAGAAGGAGGTTTATTTAAAAAACATGGAAAGAACAAACAAATTAACTGTCAATTTCAGCCCTACCCCGCACGTTTTGGAGAAATCGGTAGGCGGTGATATCACTGTGAGAAATGAAGAGACAGGACAAAGATTACGGAGAAACGTTATACATTTAAAGAAAATAGAGGGAAGCTGGAACTCTATCCGTGACGAGACCACATCATCTTCGGGAGGTCTCGAAAGTGAAGATTATAACGACGCAAATAAAGTTTAATTACTTATTGATTTTGTATTGATTCGAGAAATAAGTTAATAAATTAAAAATTACTTCGGTTAAAACTGTATTTCATTTGATTAAAATTCATTCATAAGGAAGGGATGTAATGTTTGTATCTATTTAATAGATTCAATACACTGTCTCATATACACAAGTAGTGGGGGGTAGCATGTTACTCGGTGGTTGCACTGAGTTGCGGCGGGGAGTTGCGTTGTGGAGCGCACCGAGGTAGGACGTATACCTAGAGAGACTCGGTGTGATAGTGAGCCAGTGTTACGTATTGTGAATATTATACTATATAAGTTCTACAGACAGGAAGCAATGTCATTCCATGCTGCAGATATATTACTGGCATAGTTGTAGCACAAATAGGTCGGCTCGACCGGGGAAAGACCACACTCTAACAGAATACAAGTGTAAAATAGTAGCTTAATTCTGGTGTGTTTCGTATGGTGTAAAGCTGGAGATCCATTCTACTGGAAACGAGCCTTTCCATCTAGATCCTCACGGGTGACAACACATCTGCATTTTGATTTGTCATCGAGGATAGATGTAGATGACTATGGGCCACAGCATCCACTTAGCATCAGGTGGACTGTATGCTCGTTTGTCACCCTTATCCTATAAAAAAAGTCTAGTACTATTATAATCAACCAAGACAATTAAAGCAAATCCTCCCTACAATGACAGATGCTTATATTCAGCATTGGACTTCTATGGGCTGATGGAGAGTTATGAAAATAAATTTATTAAGACAACAAATTGATGAATTACTTAAATAAATGTCTTTTTCTTACCTGTGGGGGTATAGAAAATGCTGCATCAGTAGCCATGTAAACAAGGTCTTGCATTAGTTGCTGTTGTATTTGTGGAGGCAACTTTGATTCAAAAATGTCTAAAAATGAAGCTATTGTAAAGTAATTATAAATGAAGGGAAAATATTATGTTACATAACTATTATAATATAATATATCATGGCACAATCAATGAATTAATCAAGTAATTAATTAATTAGGTGGCCTAGGGCTCTATTGAAATATCATAAAGGGATATTTCTCGAAAAAATTCAGATGGACATAGGTATGTTAGGTCTCTCTAGCTTGGGGGCCCTGTGTCAGTGGTGTAGCAAATACAGAAATACAGTTTTTAAGGTTCTTTTTTGGGTTGATCATGATTTAAAAAAATATTTATTTAAAATTAAATCCTATTATCCAATTATTTGAAAAATATGTTTAATGTCTTTTCACAAGGTATTATTTGTATAAGTTAATTATACTGTTGACACTGTACTGCAACAAGCCACAGATCAGGATAGCAACAAGTGCTATTACAGGACATGGCTCCTTTAACAAACATTCATTTACTAAAGGTGTTACAGATAGTTCCCTTTGCAAGGCACGTGTTGTTGGCATGTGTGTGACATATAGGAATAAATATTTTGGGACGCCAAGAAGCCAAAGATGCTCGCAACATCAAAGGCTGTTGAACTTCTTCGGATAGATTTCATGGCTTGAATAATCACAATATTCCTGCCGACATGCAAAATACGGCCTTAGATGTGGAGTTTCAGAAAACAGCAGAACGTAAACTAAACTAAAAACTGTATTGCAAGAAAAAGCATATTATACAACTATAATATCTGCATATGGTTGAACTATTAGGATGCAATTAAAATACACAAAAATGTCTACAGGGTGGCATGTTTGGATGGGGCAGTATGAAAAAATTTATATAAGTAATAAAAGATAGATAAATTTGCTCAAATATTTGCTTTTACTTTCATTGTTGAAAAAAAAAATATTATGTGTCATGACATTTAAATATGTTTTTTGTACTTTTTTGTGTAACTTACTAATTTTCAAATACATGATAAACTTATTTATAAGATGACTATACTAGGTGGTACAACCATTTCTACCTAGGGATTATCTGGTTAGGTACCATCCTATTACCTATTTCTGCTGCCTAATAACAGTAAATGCACGATGTGTTCCGGTCTAAAGGGTATAGAATGCCAGTGTAATTACAGATTATGAGGCATTCCATCTTAGTTCTCAGAGGTGACAGCACCTCAGTAGCCTTCTTAATTTGAAGACAGTTGCAGTTATCCATTGGCTACGGTGACCACTTAGCATCAGTTGGAATCTAAGTTTGCTTGTCAGTTCCATTTTATAAAAAAGATTTTACTATAGTTTTTTAGGCAATATTACCCAAGTTCCAATGAAGGGTAGAAGCAATCTTAAGAGCAAGAATTTTTAATGCTAGTTGTTTCCTGGTAAATTGATGAACTGTTGTAGTTACTGATGGGGGACTAGGTGGACCATCTACATCCATGACTCTTTCAGTAGCAGGTTTGCAGTTTTTTGCATCAATAGATAAAAATTCTTCTATAAGTTCACATGCTGATGGCTCTGAAAACAAGATAAAGCAAAAAACTGCTTAGTAAAGGTATTATTTTAGTTGTAGTTTAGTATAAATAACAATTAATTTATATCTTATTGAACTTAATTATTATAATATTATATATATTCATTAATTTTATTATTTCATTACTTATATTAATAATATTTCATTATATATATGAAATATGAATGAGATGTAAATGTAAGAATATCCACTACCCCATATCATCTCTTGGGTGTCTTAAGAGGCAACATAGGTAAAGAAATCAGGAGTGAGGGAATAGCATCTTCCTAATAATGACTAAAACTAAAAAACTGCTGTTGCCAACCCACTTGCCAAGTGTGACAACTATGGCAAATATCCCCTATATGAAGCAATCTATGGAGGAGGCCTATGTTCAGCAGTGAACTTTAATAGGCTGTAACAGTAATGTATAGGTTACATTCAGAAGAATTTTATTTGGACCCTTTTTACTGGAAATGAGGCATTCCATCTTAGTCCTCATGGGTGACAACGCATCTGCATTTTGATTCGCAAACGAGCGAGACGTAGATGTCTATGGGCCGCAGCAACCACTTACAATCAGGTGGACTGTGTGCTCGTTTGCCACCCTTATCCTATAAAAAAAATCAATTACCAATCTGATCAGAGCTAACTACGGCGCTGTATACCACACTTCCACGAGGAGCGTAAGCTGAACACAGCTGTAAACCTGGTCTGGCGAAAGATCATTCTTTTCAACAAGCAGTTTAAAGTTAATAAGAAATGGTAGTGCGGAGTGGTACGATAACTTGACTTAAGAAAAATATAACTTACTTGTTTCGCTAAGATAGATTAGTGATATGTATTTCGCTAATAAAGTTATTTTGTTTTTACTGGTTTCGTTTACTGGTTTTGGACTTTTTTTTTAAGGATTACATGCAATTAGATACTACCCTCTCACATATTTCTACCTCTAAGCAGCAATGCATCCATTGCTGTGTTCCAGTCAGAAGCGTATAACCAGCCAGTATAACAAGTCTTTTTTTTTCATGGTAATATGCCTACATATACCCGTCTTGCAGGGGCAAGGAAGGGTTATGTCAGACTCACATCTACTAAAATCCCACGGTGTTCCACATTCGCCACATATTAGCAGGGCCACAGGAACATTTTCACACACATCTGTGGCACCACCAGCACTGGTCACCCCAAGGTAGCCACTCCTCTGGGAAGACTTCTCCCCCCCCTGCCTCCTTGGGTAAGGCGCACCAGGAATATAACAAGAGGCTTGTCGAGCAATATATTTTAGTTTTCAGAGGTCACAATGCATCTGTAGCCATCTTTGTTTAAAGTTAGGTGTGTTATTACCTTGTTTGCATCATTAAGAGAAGGATCATCGCTGGTGTACAGAAAACTAATAATAAATAAACAATAATTTAATGTTTTTTTTAAATATGTAGTTTTCTTAATGATGTTTTTCTTCTCAATGGTCCCAAAGCAATCAATATAATGTACAAACATACATACATGGTGATTCAGTCAGCTAATGAGTTATTAATTTAACCTATATTAACCTGGTAATATAAAATACCAAGTCGACAATGGGAAGCAGTGTCAAAGGTGCTAAATGTCTAATCCAATCATTAATCCGCCTACCAAGTGTCACAATTAAGGCAATGTTCTTTACAACCTATCTATGAACAAATTACTCCTTTTTAAAAGGCCGGCAACGCACCTGCAATTCCTTTGGTGTTGCAGTTGTTCATGGGCGGCGGTAGTCACTTACCATCAGGTGAGCCGTATTCTCGTTTGCCCCCTGTCCTGTAAAAAGAGGTCTACAAGTAGTGATATTTTACGGGCTGCTGAAGAAGATACTAACCTGGATTCTTCTTGCTAAGGTGATTTTGTAATAGAGTAGGATCAAGCAGAAATTCGAACCAAAATATTGTGTCCGGTGAAATAGGCACAGTGCCTGGCCGTAAAAGATCGACATCCATTTTTCATAGAATTAAAGTAAAACAGGAATAAGAATAATTTTGTATCATGAAAATTGAGGAGAATTTAACTGCATGAGTTTGATGTTAAATTGGATAAAATAATAAGTCAAACTTATGGTCTCAATTATGTATTACTTTACTGTTTGACTTATTTATTAGCATTTAACAAGAATTTCAGAGTTCCGTTACCGACGTTATTGTGAATAATATATAAATTAATTGTAATTTTAGCGTAAACGCAAAGCAAAAGCAAAATTGTATCGTAATATTAATATTTAAATGTCAAAACAAAACAATTGTCAAATGTCTTTTTTTTAATATCTGGCTTTACGGCTGTGGGTTCTGGCCTTTCTGAGCCTGAAGTTACAATGTATAATTATCCTTCATATTACACTGCTTCACAATATGTTGATGCGTCACATTGTGCAGCTCTTGGGAGATTTTGACGTCAACTTGAGCCAGCAGACAGTTGGCAATGGTATCTCAAGGCACTTAAGCAGACACCTTATCTTGAGAATCTCATCACCATCAGATCATTTGTTTCACCGTTGAGCGGGGGGGGGGTTATAAAGTCCATAGACTTAGAATATACTGGCGTATAGACGACCTGACAGCCCGAAAACGCGTGACTAATTTTGATTTGTCATTGTGTGCGTTAGCTAGTGATGTCTATTTTACTTACAAGAACTATCGGAAAATGATTGTTTAGGAAGCGGCAAATAAAAAAAATAATTAAAAAATAGTGTAGTGCAGGAAATTGAATAACTTTAACTGGATTTTTACCATGATAGTTCTAAAATAATTAAAAAAATGTTCATATAACATGTTCCTGGGAATAAGCTGAGCCTACCTGCCTTTTGTTGGATTTTAATTCAAATGTAAAAAATCCCAGGTGACTCTACCGATAAACTAAAAAAAAACTCCAAGAATCAGATCGGAAAGTTTTATTTTCGAGTTATGATCTTTGGAGAAAAATATTAACTGCCATAGACAGTTTCCCCGGAATTCCTTTTTTTTAACATATTGTTAATATAAATAGGTAGGTACTTACTAAGTATATATCTATTTATATTTTATTAATAGTTTTGATGGGGAAATAAAAAACGGGGACACAGAGTACATATAATAGGTGCTTTATTTTTCATATAAGTATTACTTTTGATAATTACAAACATTTAATAATAAAATACATTATAGAAGTTTATTTTAACATTCGACTCAAATACGAATTAATTTTAGTAAGGATACTTGTAGGAATGAGTTAAATAAGATTGTTCTGTTTAAAGGCCAATATGTTTATGAGGCTTAAAAGTATAAAGTAATAATAAACTTATTATTATTTTAGCTGCATGAATTTAAAAAAAATAATGACCTTAACAGAGTAAAGTGCACTAGGCGTCTGAGGATACAGATGCACTCTCTATTATCTCAATCTCGGTATGTTATGAAAATGGTCACTCATTCATGTACTGACCGCAGCAAGAGCAACTTAATCTCGCAGATCTATTGATCCGCGCAGCTATAACTTATCCACGAGTTCCTTTTCTCTATGACTAATACTGTAAGCGATGAACCACGCTATTTAAGCCGACGGCACAACGTCATCAGCCATAAAGTATGAATCGGGCATCGAGCGTTGTATCAAACACTATGGAATTTATACTATCCTAGCACATCGAACCGCGCGCCTCATGCGCGGGCGTCTAATGACGCTTCAAGAGAATTACTAAATATATTATATCTAACTACGTTAAAAGTTTTATCATTGTGACTTGGGAATATATTCCGAAGCTCCGCGCAAACCCTTGGGGAAAATAGTGTGATGCAATGAAATATCGCACTAGTGTGACCGTGAGGTACGGGTGGTGAAGTAAGGTTATACATTTTTTGGTTGATAAATAGATAGTTGGGTTCATAATGGCTTAAATAGGATAATTTCAAGATTTTTTTATCTGAAATGTACTACAGTTTTATAATGTTCAAAAATCGGTCTCTATTTTTATCAACATTTTTGAAGTTTTATTATTATAACAATATCATACTTACTGGTACCAGTAATGTAGAAATGGCTCCTATTAATGAAATTATTTTTATTCTAAACGAACGCAAACCGAGAATTTATTTTCTTGTTGTGTGGGCAAGTCTATCGATTCATTTTAAACATTCAAGATAAATATCGACATTAATTTTGATATAGTTGAGCCAATCCCTAGCGTACATATAAAATAGCGTGCCGAATTGCGCCGACCTGTCATTCAAAATCGGTTACAGAGTCATAAGATTTAGTATACTATTCTATTTTGCATTTTTGCCATAAGGAATTTTCTTCTCCCTTGCACACTATGTCAGTCTATACGCCAGTATATTCTAAGTCTAGGATAAAGTCATGGATGCACTCATTGCTTATAAATTGTTCTCATTTCATTTTCTTCCAACAACAATATACCTACCGTAAAGTAATATAAGGGACTGACGCCTACAGATGCACTATAGGCTAATATTAATATCTTTTTTTTTTGGGACTATCATAGACTTAGCATATACTGGCGTAGGCGTAGACAGAGATAGTTTTCTCTGTCTACGGTCGTAGGTGAAATTATTTGTTAGAAGGATTACTTACTACAATCTTTGGGATGGATTGAAAAGTTGCATTTTAAATTCTAGTGTATAATATGTTTATACACAAAAATGCGTCAGTGTTGTATTCTTTACTTTTTTTTTAGACTTATTTAACTTTTTTTAAATTTTTCCACTTTTAGGAAAACCCCTATTTTGGCTTATCCATATCCTATTCCATATTGGTTTACAAAGAAACACCAATCTCTACACTATCTTAAAGAATGATGCATTCTTCTCCTCCTAAACGGCTGGACTATTTCTGATCAAATTGTTATGGGGTATTTATGGAGTTGCCTGGAAGATTTTTGCCAATAGTTGGACTTGGTAGGTGGCACTGTTTTCGACATCTAGAAATCACCCGTGTGAAAGCCGATGCGGATCATTAATTAATTCACATTTAGGCCGTTATTTAGAGACAACCTCGAGTTTAGGACCTCGAGGCGGCGTTCGTGCCTTTGCACGGCTAGCATGGGCTAGGGATAAAAACGTTATCCCCCGATTATATTCACTGACAAGAGATAAAATTATCTTGTCCTCATGCTAAAGCACGGGAACGGGAGAAGTATATCCCCGTTTGACATAAGGAGTAGACATATATCCCCCGTCCGTAGCAGGGAGCCAAATTAAAGATAAAAAATTATGCTTTTTTGATATTTGAAAGGGACAATTTTGTCCTAGTTCATTGGACATGAATTGAAGTTTATATTCATACAAAAATCTATCTAAGTCTAAGTCTATCTCCCATTTTATTTACTGTGGATATTATATCCACCGGTGTGCCCATGCTCGAAGGGTGGATAAAACTACGCGAGGGGATAAACATTTTCTCCTTTCCTCGGGGATGAAATTGTCTCTTGCCTATGCTAGCCGTGCTGTAGTGATCGTGTAACTTTTGAATAAGTCGACCGGTAGAGTAGAGGTTATATTCACACAATATATTTGTTTCGTCGAGACGATGTTTCATTGCTATGATTGGATCAAATTAACAAATTACAACATATATACACCTATGTACAATTAATAAATGTTTACATTTGTAGTGTGCCAAAAAAGTTATCTCTCTTTTTCCTATTAAATCTACGAATATTTTATTTTTTAGTTTGACACAGCAAAGGGCTGCTATTTTTTAAGTATACATTTACATCATTAACCTCTATATATTTACATACATTCCTATTTGTCACTGCAATTAATTACACCTACACGAAACAACATACATTTCACAATCTTTATTTGCCATTAGGGATGTTCGATGATCATCGATGTTAAAAATTAAAACATCGGTGTTTTAACATTGATGTTGACACTTGTCAAACATCGAAACATCGATGTCCATGAACCCAGAATCGATTATTGGGAACTTGCGAACAATGCGAACCCGCTAAAGCAATATCAACTAAATCTTACAACTGCTGTGAAGATTTAAAATTTTGAATAATTCCTGAAAGCATCGCTAACCTAAAAAATATCATTATGGTGTGTCAAACTTAATTGTCAAGAGTCACCTGTAATGTCACAGTGGTCACTTTCGCTTTATTTTGTTTTTTTTTTTCATAGGATAGGGTGAGAAACGAGCACACAGTCCACCTGATGGTAAGTGATTACTGTGACCCATAGACATCTACATCTATTCTCAATAAAGACTCAAGATGCAGATGCGTTGTCGCCTGTGAGGACTAAGATGGAATGTCTCTTTGCCAGTAAAAAGAGTCTCCGGTTCTCTACACTCACCATACGAAACACAGCAGCGTTAAGCTGCTATTTTACGCTGGTTTTCTGTGAGAGCGTGGTCCTTCCCCGGTCGAGCCGACCCATTCGTGCTACAACTATACTACTAATATAGCTGCAGCATGGCTCTACCACGTCTTGTAGCGTCGTTGTCTCTTTTTCTCTTTTCTTTTCTTTAAAAAACGTTACCCCCACTCTAGGATTTTCTCCTGTATCGTGGAGGCAGTTTACAAACACAAATTGCACAAGGACAAACATCCAGACCCGGAACAATTATTTGTAGGCCATACAAATACTTGTTCCGTGCGGGATTCGAACCCGCGGCCCCCAACGCGGAGCCACCAGTTGTCGGTTGTCGCATAATAACTATTCTACGTATATTGATATTCAAGTTAATTGTTACTTTTTCCCTTGCTGTGTATACCCACATAGGTAATTTTGAAACATATGTAAGTATCTACACATATACAAAAAACATCGATAATGGTCAACATCGATGTTTTGAGTAGGCTAAACATCGAATATAGATGTTGAGCTATCGATGCCAACATCGATGTAATCATCGATGTTTCTGCAACATCGAGCATCCCTATTTGCCATATAATATTACATTCGACTTATTTATAAAGTTTGGAGATCTTATTAGTGTATTG